TTGCCTGGGACTCTACGATTATCATTGGCAATGAACATAGCCCTAGGACTTAGAAAAGAAAAACAGGAGTTTTATGAGGCAGTAAAATATACAAATTGGTTGGAGACTTGGAAGGCCACCAAACAAGAAAATAAATCAGAGTAGAGAGTGTTTTGCAAAAGAAGCTTCAGGGTTGAATTGGGAGGTGGAAGGCGGGACCTTCTCAGAGGAGAGATAATTTTTTGGTCCTAATGTGCTAAAGACCCTGAGTACAGTGGGTGTGGAAAGAGCTAGGAGGAAAGGCAGACTGAGAGGACAGAGGGTGGTCATGGGAAAATTATTAGCAGATTTTATAAAATGCAACAGACAGTTCAGGGCCTTGCTACTACCACTAGCCCATGGACCAACAGTATCAGGTTCCCAAAAGAATCTACTAGAAATACAGAATCTCGGGCCCCAGCCTACACCCAGGGAATCACAATCTTTATTCTGTGAAGTCTGGAGCTGATTCATTTATAATTAAAGTCTCAGGAGCAGTGGACTAGAGCTTGTCTGAATTGAGCATTTGGCTGAACTCAGGGAGATGTCTGCTAATATGACTTTAGGCATTTCTGATGTGTCAAATGTTTCTGTAAACAATGAGATGGAATACTAAAACAAGACCATTAACTCAGCTGCCTCCAATGTGGAAATGTCAGAAGCCCTTGGCTTGGGACAGTGATGCTTTTTCTAAAGACTCTGTGCTTTATCACTTGGAGGATGGCGCCGCAGGCTTGTTTACAGCGGGGTATACTGCAGAGCTCCAGACAGGAGGTACGTCATCCAGGTCCTAGTTTTAGTTCCTCACTCCTCTGTGACATTTGGGAAGGCACTACCTTTGAGCCACAATTTAAAAACCTCCAAATTGTAGCCCTAAACAAAATCAGGGAAGTTTTGTGCTGAGACTTAGTCTCCTAGCAGAAAAGAGCCACCCATTTTCCTGAACATGACTCAAGTTTAACCTTCTTTATGGCTTAGTAGTAGTGGTCCATTGTGGATCCTGTGATCATAATGCAAAGTGAATTAAATCAGACACAGAAGGTTAACTATCACCTGGCTTCTCTAGTATGACAAGTCTAAAATATAAACAAGTGAAAGTGCAAAATAAAAGAGAGATAGTAGGAATGGGGGGTAGACCCTGTGGAGAAGGGAAGGGCATCTGAAGAAGGTGTGAGAAAGGGCGGAGGGGAGGGAAGTCAAAATGGCAAAGATGTTGTTCACATACGTACCCATCCCCATGATGCATGTAATTATTATGTATTATAAACATGTACTATAATAGATAATAAGTAAGTATGTTTTGGCTTAAGGTATTCAGATATTATCTGCTGAGAGCTCATCCTCTTGGCATCTCCAGGATGGAGCTTGCAAATTCTGTCTTAGACTGATACTCATCCTATTCCTCTCTACACTTTTAACCAGAAGAATCTCACTAGCATAAAATTTCCGCCAATCTCTAGCATCTCAGCAGCACGCAATGAACACAGGTTACTACTACTATTGTTACTATTATCTCCTTTCGGCGCTTACTCCGTTAGGCTGAATTGGCTGCTGTAAGAAGAATTCTGATGAATGAATAAAGTCCGTGTCATTAGTAATCAGAAAATAACAAACGTAAACATTTCCAACCACAGAAACGAGGTCAAGCAGAAGTGAAGGAACACGCTGCAAGGAACAGTAACCAAAGGCGGCGAACAGAGGAGCACGTGTGCCTGGAGGAACTATGGGACTCTGGGAGAACCAATGGACCCCAACAAGGGCCACAAGTACTCTGCAAAGCTCTTTATCACTTACGCTGACCAAGCCTGGAGTCACAGCGCCAGCTGCCCTCTGACCCAGCTCACGCTCCCCTGAATTAAAGTCCCTACGTCATCTCCAGGGTGAAGCTGGCCTGCCGCCAGGTGGTGAGGACGGAGTTCATTCTGATCCATCAGAGTCTGTGCCAGCCTGGTGGGCACACAGAGCATTTGGGCTATTGAATGTTTATAACTTAGAAAATAAAGTCTCTGGTGGACTCTGAAGCAACAATGTATAAATGTCCAAAATTTTTAAAGGCATCCATTTATTTCATGATATGGTCCTTTGTTCAAAAGATACTGATTGATCTCCTCTTATAAAACACCTCTGTGTTAGGCAATTGGGTTCAAAACAAAAGCTGACCTAGCCCTGTCCTCAGGGAGCTCACAAACCAATGCGTCAGGACCATGGATGTGAACTCTGAACGTGTCAGCATCCAGGATACACAGGTCAATGAGGATAATAGTTTTCTGTTTGGTTGTTGTTGTTGCTGCCTTTTAATCTGAATCTGACACTGTGGCCCCAGACAGTCTACTGAAAAATCCGGTACCAAGGGAGGTATCCTTTAGGTTAATCCCATTTGCTATTTTATGCATAACCTTTGTCCTTAGGGGCTAGTATGGCTTATCTGGGGAGTGTTCCTTTCTTGTTCAGCTACATCTTAGCAAATGTCCATAGCTACTCCATCTAAGTGTTTTAAAAGAGAAGAAAGAACTAATGTCTCCAAAGGCAGAGGTAAATCAGCCTTGGGATTGCTGCTACTGACCATGAGTTCCCCAATTTTATGTTAGAAAAGATTCATCATTTGGACCACATTTACAAGCTGTAAAGCTGTTCCAACAGCTTTACAAGAAATGCCTGCACTGTGTATAGTTAGTCAATTAAGATTCTTCTTCTCCGGGCTGGGGATTTAGCTCAGTGGCACAGCGCCTGCTTGGCAGGCTCAAGGTTGTGAGTTCAGTTCCTGGTACCAGAAAAAAAACAAAACAAAACAAAAAAACAATAAAAAGATTCCTCTTCTCTCATCAAAAAATATAACCAATTATAAAAGTACTAAAAGAAAAATAATCAGATTTTAAATTGGGTCAATTCCAAAATTCCTCATAGAAAATATTTTATAGTTATTGTTTTCTACTGCTTTGAGCCAATATAAATTTAAATTATTTTGGTATTTTCTTACTAGATGTAGTTCTAACCACTATTTAGTTCTATGTACTATATCTCCCTCTTTTTTTCCTCATGAAAAATCCTTTCCATCCATTCAAAAACTGCTTCTTTCTCATTGCAAGGCTTGTCAGTAGTGGGACCTTCCTCCATCTAATAGCTCAGTGGAAAACTCCACAAAAAAAGATGGTCCAGTTAGTTTCAGGAACCACTGAGAAACAGTTTGGTTCATTAGGATCTTTAGCCTGAAGGATCACAAGAGATGTGAGGAGCTAGAAGGAATCAACTTGAGGAAACAGACAATGGAGAAAGAAGATTTCACAATACAGAGAAGACCAAGTGCTTATGGAATCGGCCGAACTCCTAGATCTAGCACACTGGGATTTCAGGAGCAGATGCTTAGACAGAGATTGGGATGAAAGCTTTTAAGCCATAATTAAAACCTGAGGAAAGAAGGATATAGACGCAGGCCTGGGAAAAGAAAGAAACTCAACTGTGATATGGTCTAACAAAGATTTAGTAACCCTTGCAGGATGCTCTAGGTTGAATGTTGCCCATCAGAATCACCCACGACTGGTCAGCAATGGTGGCCTTTTGATGTGCTTACCTTGCTCAGTCACCAGATGTGTCTGCTAGGGTGGGACCATGAGCCAATGCCTCCACGTGGCTGAGAGCTGTAGGCCATCTGTTGACTCCATACCCCACAGCAAGGCAGCAAGTACTTCCGGGTAGCACAGCTCTTTGCAAACCTTACTGCTCCACGAGAAGCCAGTTTGAGTGAGTGAACTCCCTATCTTCAAGCCAGTCTGACTTCAGTTGCATTAATTTGCAATCAAGAGACTCTGTCCTACCTTCAGAGTTAAAGATCCTCTGGACCTTCAGTATTTCACAAGAATGTCCTAAATTAGGCTAGGAAACTTAATTTAGCCACATTCCAGCAAACACCTGGATACCAGGACTATTAATGAAGTCCCAAATCTGCAGGCTGTAAATGGCTCATGATTTTCACATGGTCACATACTCAAGATGAGAGATGTTTGTATTATTAGGTTGAAGTGTATGATTAAAAGTGATAAGTCACTGGGAAAAAAGGATTTTGTTTTTATATTACAGAACAAATAAAGTCCAGAATATTTTCATATGAAAAGGATATACTATGATAAAAAGAAAACTTCTCAATTTCACCTCAGGCCAGAAAGAACCTCCCTAATTTCTTTATCTCTCAGTAATTCTCAAGCTCTCTATAACAGAATGTGTTCATTTCTCAGGAAACATTGATTTATATATTAATAATGCCCTCTTTGTTCCCATAAGTGACCAAATTTACAGTAGTGAGCATGAGAGCAAAATCAAACAGCATTCCAGGCTCATACTTGGAAGCAAATTAAATTATTTTCATACATGCTAAAGTTCATTTTCACTCTGGGTAGCTATATTTTTAAGTGTATGAATTTCTGGCAATATATTTCAATTTATATCAATGTACTTTAGATTTTTGTATTTTAATCTATACCAAAGCAGCATAAAATTTGCAATTCCAGTTTCTCATTGAAAATGAAAATAATGTGAATATACATACATATATCGCTTTTATATATACTACATATATAAAGAGATCCAGTGTCACATACTAATGTATGTGTGTACATGAGAGAAAGAGAGAGAGAGGCTGAGAGACAGAAACTCAATTTGTACCCTGGACCATGGACTAAAACCAAATAACAAACACTAATGGTGTAAGCATAAAGCATTGTTCAGCACCCTTAAGTAATCAAAATGAATTTGATCTCTGTTGCCTTCGAAACACTCCTTGTTAGAAGTGGTAAATTATGGTTATAAACTCTTCCAGATGGTTGATATTTTGTAGAGTTCTCATATTCCAACTCAGCTGACAGAATCTACTAATGCTGGGGTTCTCAAGTTTTTAAGGATAATTTACAGAAGCAATAACAGTACGCATGCCACAGGCCTTGCCCTGACACTTAATAAATGGGCGAAGCAGAAAAGAGGGCACTACTTACCACCCGAGTGTGGCGGAGGCCCACAAAGCAGGACGACTCCCTGGCCTTCACGCACGGACACTGTACTTCTCATTTTGGTTTTAAAATTTTCAAGATCTGATTTGAAAACAAAACAAAGCAACACTAAATTTTAAAAAGTGAAATCAAATTTATATACTAAAATATTCCTTTCTTTCGAAGAATAATTTTAAAAATCCCTTCTCCAGAACTTCAAGAAGAGAATACTTCTTTTAAGTGGAAAAGCAGGATTTGAATTCCTTTATTAAAGCTTCTGGAAAGCCAGCATACAATGTAAATATGTACCCATGGATTCTGCGTTGCTGTAAAAGGGTCAAAAAAGCATGGAGCATCCAAAAAGACAAAGTATATATTAGAATGACCTAATTAGACAATACCCTGAGTCAAAAGAGAAAATGAAATGTCCTGAAGCAAAAAATATTCATAAATATGATTTCCACATCTGCCCCAGTGATTCACCACATCGCAAGGACTTTTAGCTTCACTGTGTCATCATGATAAATTATTCATGAGCTTTCCTCTAAGATATTTGATCATAAACAGCCTAAGTAAATTTTGCTCTACCTTTGATTATTGTTATTTACAAAAATACTTCAAACTATGCAGTTTCTGGGTATTGGTCCTATTTGTCCATGTCCTTCCCACATCCTGAAGGTCTTGGAAGAAGGAGTAGATCACAACCAGTAAGCACAATTGAAGGAATAACAATAAATTGGGTCCAGGTATCATCTTTTATTTATAGCTATAAAAAATCAAATTCTTTCCATAATCACCCAAGGAATATTTTTTCAAGTGTTTGATAAAGTTTTAAAAACATAGCAATCAAGAGCAAATACTATTTTTATTACCAGTGATTATTTTTAGAAAACATGTAATTTTTTTCCAAAACCAACCTAGGACAGCAAATACTGATTCATATTTTCTAGCTTAAATTACAGCCCAGAGAAAATTCTATTGACTTACTTTTTGAAAAGCTTAAGTCTAGGGGGGAAAAGGAAGAAACATCTCCTGTTTCTCTAAACTCTCATTCTAAAAAAAAATGCTTGTGAATTGCAGTTAATATACTTTACGGTGTCACTTTCTGTAGCAGAGTAATTGCACTGTCAATTTGTGAAAGCATGCATTCACTCCGTCCCTCTTAAGGACTCATATAAATTGCTCAAGTGATCACTATACAAAGCAAGGCAGTGTATGTACTTTACAATATAGCTTGGAAATTTTCAACTTTTCTTTGAGAAATGTAAAAAGCATAAAACATCTTAAAAATGATAACATAATCTGGAGGCATTCATAAATGTTTTAAGCACCGTAATTCAGTACATCAGAAGAAAATAAGGCTTATTACTTCATTTAAATATTACTTAAAATAGTATTAAAGTTGTAGGTTATAATCATGCAGTAAAGCAAATCAGCAAAACTCACAGTATGTGTGCCCAGAAAAGAAGAAAAAAGGTGCTTTTGGCCTGATGTTAACCACAGGTTATGCTCTAGAAATGATCTGACACAGCATTGTATCACCTTAGATCTGCAACTAATCTGCAACATTCTCAAAACATTAAGGTTCTTGAAGTGTAACTGAAGAGGAACTGAAAACCCGGACCATCCAAATCCTTCCCAAAGCAAGCACCTTCTACCAGAAGGCAGCCTATTCATGACAAATGATTTCCAAAGTCTGCTTTCTTGACAAATAAGTATGTATCGTTGTTTCTATTTTTCTGCCCAATTTCTTATTTCTTTTTGCTACATAATTTCCCACCATGGAAATTTTTCCATCACTGACTTTAGCTACCATGTTAAGAAAATAGTTTCTACAGATGCCAATAATGTCTCCTCCAAGGGAAATTATATTTTGTCTCAGCACAGATTTATCTAATATAGATTTGTGCACTGGTCCAAACACTTGCCTGACACAGTATGTGGGGGCAAAGAATGCTGTTTCAGACACCCAGTGTGTACAGTTCATAGGACACAAGCTCTGAGATGACTTCCATGTTTTCATGAGGGCTTTGTTTATGGCCAAGTACTGTAAATATAGTGGACTTTTTTTTCTTCCAAGTACAGCACTATCTCCTGAATTCTTATCCTATAGTTCTCACGGTATGGTCTGAGGACACATTGAGATTCTTGCTGCAAAAGTGCAGATATCTCACAAGCATTTAAAACTCATGAATTAGCATTTCTGGTGGTATTAGCCTTAGCTAATATTGCAAAATTACTATTGTCATTTTGCAAAGTGACAGCCTGTTATATGTTAGATTCTAGAGGTATGAAACATCAGGGGCCTCCTTTCGAGGACAGACCTGTCTGGCAAAAAGTCTGTCATAATTTAGATCAGCAGTGCCCCTGAAAGCCTCACACATTCAGAGGTGGAATATACACATTGGAATGTGTCAGGATCATAGGGGCATTGTGCTCATTAGTGGACTGATCCACTGATGAGTTAGTGAGTAAGTATGCTGTTAAATGGTGGGTCGTCGTTAGGAGGCCCCGTGGGACGTGACCTGAAAGAACACACCTCCCACCACGATTCCTCCCTTCTCTCTCTGATTCTTGGTCACAGAAGGAACTTTCCTCCCTGACGGGCCGTTCCATCACTCTTTCTGCATTTCAGTCTCCCAGCCATGTACTGAAACGTCTCAAACTCTGAGCCAAATAAGTCTGTCCTCTTCTAACTTGTTAGTGTTGGGATCTGCATCAGTGCCAACAGGAAAGAGACTAGGATGAAGACAAACCTGAGGCTGAGAGCTGCATTTTATGTGGCATTTGGTGAAATGGTAGTAAATACAATGATAAATGGACACTTACCCAAAAGGTGTGAAAGATGCTTTACAGAAGTCAGCCACGTGAATGCAGGGAGGAGTGTGTCTAGAGGTGTGCAGTTATAACTCAGTATGATTTTAATCTGCACTTCCCTGATGGTTGATGCTGCTGACCATCTGCTTATATGCTTATATTCCACACATACATCCTTCTTAGTGAAATATCTGTTCATAGTTTTTGCCCATTTGCAAATTGGACATCATATTCTTTTGAATTTAGGGAGTATTCTAAGTACTCTTCTTTTACAGAACAAGTGATTGCACATATTATATCAGGCAGAGGAGAAGCATGAATGCAAAGGAAAAGATATGCCATAGTTAAGGGATAACAGGATTTTCTAACTTTTGTAGAAACATTAGCAACTAGGAGAAGAAATCAGTGTAAGTGTCTAAAATATTAAATCATTAAAATACCTACAAGTCGATTGCAGGTAGAGCTCAAAGGCAAATCCCACTCTATATGGTCAAACTGTGACAAGAACTGTATTAGAAAAGCTCTGTTCAGGACAAAAATAAATATAAAATAATCCAGTAATTATTGGCAGAAACTTTTCATCTTTTTCTCTTTATCTTATCACCAATTCTGGCACACTCTTCCATGATTTTGGGGTCTTAATGTATCCAGAATTCATAATCAAGTAAATTTGATGAAAACAAGCTATAAAAAAAACTATTTCTATAATTTTACTTAATGGCAAAAAGGTTAAGGTTTTCATTTACTATCAGAAAGTAGGGCAGGAATGTCTATTTTCATGTAGTACTATCTATTAACACAGTACTATAAGTTATAATCAGTGAAACAAACGAGAAAAAAGCACAGACTTTGGAAAAGAGGAAAATAAAACTGAACTTACACAATATTACTTTATTGTCTAAATTAAAAAGTCAGAAGGAATCTGAAAGATAAAAACTAACAAATCTTTCTAGGATTGAGTTAAGTAAGCTGTAAGACAGAATTTCTATATACTAACAATAACAGGCACAGATCAAAATTAAATAATATTCTATCTTTTACACTCATTCTAAGGAAAATTAAACATTTAGTTAGACATATAACAAACATGTAAAGGAACTACATACTGAACCTTACAAGATGATGATAAAAATTTACAAGGTTGTAAATAAATAATAAGCTGCATTACGTACATAGATTGCTAAAGCCAATATAGTTGTCACTTTTCCCTGAACCGGCGATGGCGAACATTTTAGAGCTTTCAATGATACAAACAGGCCCTCTGTGGCATGCATGCCATAGATTCACCACCACTGCCCTAAACTGATATGTAAGTTTAATGTAGTTTCTATAATACACCAGTAAGTGTTTTAACTTTGTGTTTTAACGTTGTGTAAAGCAAGTTTATATTAAAATGTATGAGTAAAACACAGAACTTTCACTACCTAAAACAATTTTGACTAAAAATAATAAAGTGGAATGAATTACTCTACCAAATATTAAGATTTACTATATAGCCACAATGATGAAGATAGTGTGTAATTGGAAGAGGAAGAGATACACAGATCTATGGAACAAAATGGAAGACCTAGAAACAGATACAAAAAATAGCTGAACTGATTTTTGACAACTATACAAAATCATTTCAGTGGAATAATGATAATGCCAAATAAATGGTGCTGGAGAAATTGAATAAGCAGGTAAAAAAAAAGTGAACTTCAACCTAAATCTGCTTCATGTATAAGAATTAACACAAACTAGCCCATGAGCTCCAGTGTAATAAATAAAACTCCACAACTTTTACAGAACTTCTAGAAAAAAATAGACAATCTTTGACATTTAAGAATCACTAAAAAGCTTTTAGATTTGACACCAAGTGTATGCTCCATAAAAGGAAAGAACAATAAACTGGAAATCATCTAAATCCAAAGCTTTTGCTTTGTGAACTCCCAAATGAAGTGCATGAAGTGGCAAGCTACAGAATGACAAAAATATTTTCAAACCATTTATGTGGTAATAAAATAAAAGCCCTAAAACTTCAGTAACAGAAAAGACACTGTATTAGTCACTTTCCCACTGCTGGGACAAAAATCCCAACACCTGCAATATAAAGGAGAAGAGGTGTTTTGGCTCAAGGTTTCGGTGGGCTCATCCATGGTCAGCTGGCTCCAATGCAGAAATGATAGGGTAGAAGAGTATGAAAGGATAAACATGCACAACCCAGCAGAGAAGAGGAGGAAGGAAGGAGCTGGGGATGAGAATGTATCCTTCTAAGTCATCACCCCAGTGACCCAACACCAACCAGG